ACACCTTCTGCTTGGCCACCACTTCGATGGCTGACTTCATCACCTGAGCTGACATCTCTTCTTCGGCCCATCCTTCGGACCTCAGCTTGGCAATGGCCTCGGTCACATTCATCGGCAGGTTCGTCTTTGTGGTCTGAGCCGGCGCCGTTGCCGTCGGTGTGTACTTCAGACGAAGGCCGCATTTGGCACATTCCGTCCACTGGCCATAGCGGTTGTTGCCCATGGTGGCATCCTGGTGGTTGCCGTAGCATGGCCAGGTGTCTGGCAGCACCCTCGGATCCCTCTGGTCTGGCCCTTGGGATCTCGTCTCGTCGAACTTCATCACATATCCTTTCACTTTCTTGGGGACTGCCTTGCCCTTTGGACGAGTGCGGTCGTTGCTCCCCTGGGCTCCGTTCATCTCTTCCATGTGTTCTGCCACTGCCTCCTTGATGGCAGCTTTCATTTGTGCCATGAAGTCCTCGTTGGCCATGAGGAAGTGCGTCAGTCGCAAAACGAACGCTTCGTCTCGGGCTTTGGAGTCTTTCAGGCTGGTCACTGAGCAGAAAGGAAATGTCATTCGATTTCACTTCAAAATGCTCTTCCAAAGATACTGAAAGACTCGCTTCACAACACGTGGACTCATGCAAAGGCTCTCTCCCAGGACATGGCATGGGAGAAGATTGGAAACAACCGTCTTCAGTTTCAGCAAAATCTGAAAACATCCACAAATCATGAACCTCAACAAACTGTGTCTCTTCTCCATCTGAAGCACCATCAGGCCCGGACCTTGGTTCCTTGTCCAGGATGAAGATCCGATCGCCCACTTTTGGCCTTCGAGCCGGAGAGAGGTCATTCTTTACGGGTGATGTAGAAGGGGAAGATGGTGATGAAGTGGAGTTCATGAAGACGTCTTTCAAATAGTCCAAGACCAGATGCCTTTTCGGGGTTCTTCGAAGTGTAGTTTGGTGGCCCTTGATCAAACATTTCCCAGTGCTGCAACCTAAAATGGCATTCAGTTGCTCTAACTCACGCATTCCAGTAAGGACAGGGACTCCTGGTGAAGGAAGGGAGTACATGTTGATCTCAATGCCATCACACGACAAACAAACTTTGAAAAGTGCTTGACCCCACCGACCGTTTCCAAATCTGAACCACGGACGATCGCTCATGTATACTCGCATGTCTGCGTTCGGTCTGGAGTTCATGACCGCTGAGCACAGCTGCTGTACTGCCCAACGTCCTCCGGCCGTGGCCGTTGCTCCGGTGTCTACAATGGACTCGCTTGCCAACAACTCTTCTGGATTGTGCTCTGCCGAAAAGATGGGGTACATGTAGTGCTCATGGAAATGCAAATCTTTGCCTTTGCCTTTACTGTATGGCCGGCTGGGCGATTTGCTCTTTCCCTTGTGGCCACCTGGTGCTCCTTTGAACCATGCGGCATCTTCTCCATACATCATGCGACCTTTTCCAGCAGCTTCTGGCCTTTTGCCTTTCTGAAAAGGGTATGCACTAGTGTAGCGTGGCTGACGCTGTTGCGGGGGCTGGTTCCAGCCACGATCTCGAGCAGCCAAAGAAACTGCTCTCCGTGCTTCAGCCAAATTGCGCTCACTTTCTGCCGTCAAGGCCTGAAGCTCTTGGAATTGTCGTTCATACTCGTCTTGCTCCTGCATCAAGTGCTGGAAGATCTCTGGGTCATCCAAGTGCTCACTCGCCTCATGTTTGGGCGATGTGTCGTCTCCATTCCAAGCATGGCCATACCAAGAGGTGTCGGAGGTCCACCATGCCGACTGGTCCCAGTCTGGCTCTTCTTCCACATGGTTCACCTCATTGTCGTCGAAGCCGACATTGGGATCTATCTTCCAGGGATCCTCCATGCCCCCATAGAACGCACTTGACTTGCCGCTCTTTCCATGGCCACTCTTTCCATGGCCTTTGAGTGGAGACGAAAACATGGTCTTGTTCGTCTTGTCTTCATACATGCTCAGGAGGGCGGCCTTGATCTCAGTATAGCCCAATTTGTTCCTGGTGGCTGCCCGAATCAACCTCCGGTCTTCATCACTCCCGACAGTCATCTCTAGCACCATCCATCCTCGAATCACGTCCAGTGCAGCCAAAGGAATCAAACCCTTCTGCATCAGTCTTTCGATCACATCGCGACCCTTCGGCTTCGGCGGTGAGGTATCCGAAGGACCTGCACCCTGAGATCTAGTCGAGAATGGAATCCCTTCTCGAGATGGTGTAGGAGTGGTTGTCTTCTGTGAGCTCTTCTGTGAACTGGCATCGTCAGCCTCATCTGCGTCAAAACCTTCAGGCTCGCCGTAATACAAGGACTCACCATCTTGTATCCCACAGAAAGCCTTAAGCTCAGCAAGGGACATGTCATAGCCTTCAAAGGTGAGCTCTTTCTCTCGCAGAAGCCTCTGCAAGGCCTTGAGAATCTCATCATGAGTCTTGTCCTCACGCACGAGGAAAGCTGGGACCGATTCACCACCTCGACGATGAAGCCGTCGGTAGTACGAGCCGATTTTGGCTCCTGCGTCTGGCAATGCCTGGCGGTTGAGTGGGGACTGCTCTAAGTAAGTCACCAGTTTGTGTACGTCTTCCTCTGTTTTGAACTCATCAGGTTCTAGCTTGTACATCAGCTGCACAAGAGTGGGTTGACCACTTTGTAAAGCTTTCCGCACGATCTTCGCAGCTAAGAGTGCCCTTTCTTCCTTTTTTGAACTGGAGAGTGTCCACTTCACTTCATGAAGAAAATGACTGAAAGATTCTGGCCGGCCGTTCCACAACGGAATCGAAGTCCAAGCTTTGTCCTCCATCGCCCTGATCGAACTAAGCTCCGCAGCACCAATTCAACATGTCATGGCAACCCTATGGCGCACAAAACGTATCTAAGCCCGTTTTCCTTGGCAAAAGTTGGGCCCAACTGGCCACAGTGCAAGGATCCTTAGTGAAACGCTCAACTCTACATGCATGAACTGACGTCTTCACCTTCGAACGTTGCACCCTCCACATCCGCAGCGGGTTGTGAAATTTTAACCTTGGGTGGCCCACCAAGGACTGCTACGTTGGGACGTCTGGCAAGCAAAGCGTTCTCAAGCAACCGCAGCAAAAGATTGACGGATCATGGTGCACCTTTCGCAGGTTTGATTTGTATTGACCTAGACCTTCCAACGGCTAAAATATGTTCGTACGATTGGGTTGTTGCATCAGTTTTTGATTCTTCGATGATAAAAAAGTAGTTGTAGAAAACGACTGATTATTGTCTAACGGTGTGATTTTGGTATGCTCCATAGGTTTTGCCCATTGGACGCTGTGGAAGATGCCAGTCATCATCGAGCCGACAAAGACCAACCTTCAAGATCTCTTCACTCCAACGTCCCCCCGTTTCTATCCCAAGGATCACTAACCTGGCTCGGCCAGTGCCTGTCAGTTTCAAGGTATGTGCGAGATATAGCTTGGCGTGCGAGTCGTAGCGCTGCTCCGGCAGTTTGGCTCTGATGTCTGCGGGGCTGTCCTGATGCGGTCAACGGGGATAACAGCGTGGTGTCCACTGCCAACTGCGAGCCATTCCAAAGCGGGAGGCCGTTCGCGATGACCTCGATGCGCCGATCATCATGTTGGGTCGAATGTGTGTTCATTCAAGCCTCGGACGAGAACGTTTGTGCTAACTGTGGCTCCTGCTTCACGGCAGATGCGGGCTGCTGCCCTTTCCATGCCCACTGCCCGTGGTCTCAAGGCACCCGATCCAGGACATGCTGCCCCGTGGTCTCCCAAGGGATCAAGCGGTTCGCCAGAGTGGTCTACCCGCAGGTATGTCGAGGGGGTGCTGTAGAACATCCTTGAAAAGGGCAGGGTTTGGTTGGCTTCACTGGCGTTCCGCAGAGCAGTGAGCATGGCTGTCCGGCTGACATGGTCATATGCCCCGATGCCATCCACGGATGGGATGGTGAGGGTTGGGCCTGCTTCCGTTGCTAGCTGCAGGCTGTGGACCCCGGTGGAATTGCAAGATGTGATGCAGGATGTGTGCAAAGAAATGGAAAACTTGCCATCGCTTGAGCAGTCGATATACTCCTCTAAAAAAAAACCGCTTTCACTAATCCCTGGTTGATCAGACATTGGCCTAGAGCTCCAAGAATTTCAGGCAGGCTCGAGCGCAGCAAGACTACAAAAATAGGGCAAATGATATACGAGTATGCAAAAGAAACCATACTTGCATTTTTGCTAACAAATGATCTTTTTTTGGTCGACATCATGCTCGTAGGAAAACAGGACTAGGCACGCATTTTCTCCCGAACCGGTTGTGACCAAAGATTGCCCAAGTCGAGCCAGCAATCCTACTCATGACATTCAACTGATCGTCACAATAGAGTAGTACAAACCACATCGTCCAAAATATTTTTGGAATTTCAAGGCCTAGGGACGTAACGCAATCGGAGGAAAGCATTTTGGTAATTTTTTTAGGCTGATGATGCTGATACAAGGGTTTCCATGTGCAGGACATTTCGTGTCCAAGGGGAAGGCGCATCGTGCATTGCGTCACTGTTTGTCCCCACGGTGCTTTTCCCCCCTTTTCATTGCCAAGGTCAGTTTTCCTCTGGTTTTTTGGCTCATCTCAGGTTTGAGCAAGCGGCAGGCGATCACCGTTCCTGTCTTACTGACCATCCTTCACCACATTCTGGATATTACAACCCTCGTTCGCCACCGTGTGGATACTTCTTGGCAAACTTTAAGTGAACAGCCTGCAACCCAATTCAGGGTCCACTAGCAATGGGGGCCCCACCGGGCATGCACACATACAGGGAGGAGAGATCATCTTCATCCAGCTGCAACGACCCGGGCAAGGCCAGCGGCAACCACAGCCCGCAGCACCCCAAGCCATTCTTTGGATTACCCTGCGGCTATAAAAAGCAAACAACGACCCAACCTGTCTGTGAGGAACAAAAGTGTCATTCAAGCAAACAAGTTCAAGCAAAGCCAAGACGAGAATTGACAAACAAGCTCTTGCATCAAAGGGCCTCGTGGCCGAATGGCACCCATTCCTGCAGCCACCCGCAAATTGAAAGCACGTGGTCGCGTCACTCATCTCACTCTAATGCTTCAAAGCCCTCTACATGCACCGAGTCCACCACGCACAAATGCTTAAAGGTGCCTCTTGCTTAACATGTGCACAACACACTCATGACAGAAAATGGTAAGTGGCGCACCGCTCCTTGTTTGGCAAAAGCTGAAGCAAATTCGTAAAGGGCACCCCAACACCATCCTCCACAGGGAAGTTGCTGCGACAACATTGGCTGCATGATAGATGAATGGTCCTTCACTCTTCCACGGCAACCTCCACACATGTTGCCCGGCAACCCGCCAACGGAAGAGTCCTGAGCCAAGCTTGCTTTTGCAAATCCACGCTCAAAAGCGTCGAAGGAAGCCATAACCAACGCGGGCAATCATGGCAATGGACGCCCCCTGTTTGACAGTTGGCTCTCCATCGAAAATGTCGTGGCGGGCCATTGCGCAACGGAGCCCACAAGAAAAAATTTGGCCCACAGGTCTTGTTTGGCTTGCGCTCAAATGCATGCAAGGGTTCTGGAACGGACGTTTGAATCCGTTTGAATGAAGTTGCTGCAAGGCTCGCAACGAGTATGTATAAAATTTCATTTGTCGTCACGCAGGATAGACGCCCCATAGCCATCGATGCACACCAAAAAACATGAGGCCGCACCTCCCTCCAAACACACTGTGGTCCCACACCCTGTTTTACCATCATCAACAACATGAAAACAGATTTGGGGGTGCTGCAGCCCCAGCAGGGGATTGCTTCTTTAAACGCTAAATGCAAAAGAGTCGCTGTTGCAACCATACTGTCGTTAAAATAATGGTGGGTTGCATTCCCCTGCTCGAAATATTTTGTGGGACGCGGAACGTTCAGGGAGCAACGCCTCCTCCAAATTTCTCTTCCCATTGTTGCCAACATTTCCACCTTGAATGACTTCAAAACAGCACCCGTTAGCACAAATATGGGTAGGAGTCGGAATCTATTTTTTTCAAGGGATCTTGTTTTCCATTTGTGTTGCGAGCAGTTCGTGCATAGTCGTGCGCGGTGACTGGGGCCTAGTCAGCCTAAACGCCCTGCCCAGGCTCATGTTGAGCGCCTTCTGCACGCGGAACTTTTTTTTCATTCACATGTTCCCAGACCATCACCGGGCCAGAAGGTCACAAGATGCCAACGGAACTTGAAACCGCAATCGTTCCGGCCCACATAACCAAAAGAACCCGGACACCCAATTGCTGCGGGTTTTTTGTTCGCATGGTTCACAACATGCGTTGCAATCCGCCCCTCCACAAGACGGAGCGCTGCCCACCTTCAACCAAATGGTAAGAGCTTGCCTGGTGGATTTAGAGGCTTGCTGAGCAGTGAACTTTGCCCATCCTGGGGGGTGGGACTGCAACCAGCAACACCGGGATGTGGTTACAGCATGGGCTAAGATTGTGCGAAGGCCGGCCTCAAACCAAAAAAATCACGACCTGCCGCAATGTTCTGCGGATACAACTCGAACCGTTGGCACCCTGACAATAGGTTTGAGGGTCTACCACTCCTGACTTTAGCATCGAGGCACACTGGCGGCAGGACACCTTCCTGGGAAGCAAGCAATGCTGGTGTCGCGGTGTCGCCGTTGGGGCGACAAAGATCGTTAGAAAACGTGTCACATTGGTGTGCCAGGAGGCGTTGGATGATGTCGTTGTATTAGGGGTGAGTGCGGTTGCACCACTGCGAGTGCACGTTCGATCGAATTTGTGCGTCGCAAAATTCCAAGCATGCTGCTTGCGGCGACAAAGGTGTTGCCAACTGTGCCCTGTTGCACATCGCCCCCACCTGCAATTGTTTGTCCCCTCCCCACTTCTTTACGTCGGTACGACGTCAGCCGGCTCAATCTCTCGCACCTCCAAACCGCCAAACTGCCCAACCCACAAAGGATGGCAACATTAAAATGCGTGTTTGCATTTGATCAAATTTCAATACCCAAAACCTTGTCAACGTCTCCGGGCTCGGCCAAGGGCCACTGCCGGGATCACAGCTGAATCGAACAACGCTCACACTTTTGTGTGTGACAAGGTACACGGCACGATACACAAAAGAACGGCTTTATTGTGTTGAAACAACGGTTTTGTTTTTGAAATAAAAGCAATCACTGTGTGACACACAAAGGGGTCTCGCGCGTTGCCACTGGGAGACCTGCAGCCCGACTCCCCGGCGCACCTAGTTGCAGTGAGGGAAACGCACTGGAAGAAATGCGATTTAAAAAACAAGACGTTCTCAACTCAACACCCCGCAAACAGTGTCACGACCAAAGAACCAAAGCTTCAATTGCGCAGGGCCGCAGCGCGGGGAACTGATGTAGAATGATTTGTCGAGCACACTGATTGCTCTGCATGTTCGCAGCTGGCACATGTCAAAATTGTTTTTCCAAATGTTTCGACGGGTTGCGGCATCGTCGTTAACTCCCTGATTCTTGTTTCTGGTCATGGTTCCGGGCAATGCAACGACCACAAGCACAACAAGGAACACAACCGCAACCACAACAAACAACAAAAACTAGACCCACAACTACCACCGCCATTGCTACCACCACTACCACCCCCCACTACCGCTGCTACCATTACCATTACCATTACCACACTACTACGACGACGACTACTACTTCTACTACTACTACCACTACCACTACAACTAACACTACTGCTACTACTACTACTGCTACTACTACTACCACTACTACTACTACTACTAACTACTAACTACTAACTACTAACTACTAACTACGAACTACGAACTACGAACTACGAACTACTAACTACTAACTACTAACTACTAACTGCTAACTGCTAACTACCAACTACTACCTACTACCTACTACCTACTACCTACTACCTACTAACTACTAACTACTAACTACTAACTTCTAACTACTAGCTACTAACTACTAACTACCAACTACCAACTACCAACTACGAACTACTAACTACTAACTACTAACTACTAACTACCAACTACTAACTACCAACTACCAACTGCTAACTCCTAACTACTAACTACTAACTACTACCTACTAACTACTACTCCTAACTGCTAACTACTAACTACTACCTACTACCTACTACCTACTCACTACTACCTACTAACTACTAACTACTAACTACTAACTACCAACTACCAACTACCAACTACCAACTACCAACTACCAACTACCAACTACCAACTACCAACTACCAACTAC